GCCGTTTGCAAATTAGGTTCCTCCACCGTCCCTATATGTTCTCGATAGGCATCATTCACCATCTGAACCGTACCAACACCAAAATCTACACTATCCGTTCTATGTTCCTCTATCCTATTCGGAACATATGTTGATTCGCTAGTACTACCAAATTCCGGTCTTTCACCATGGAGCAACCAAATCTTGTAACCATCCATAAATCCATTGGTATATAAGTGACTCCAGACRTAATCAATCCTAACATTACGAGAATTCYGGCAAATACAACATGGACATTTCAACATACMAGTTTTCYGGGCAGATGGTTGCCGGCAAGCTATATCCATAAACTCTCCAACACCTCGTGCGTAATCGTCGTTTATTGCATTTGACTCCGGATTYTGCATCGGTTGGTCCATCCATGATCGGAAATAAGACATTGATTATTGTGTATTTTTACGATGAGTTAATTTTTGTCGAGAAAATATGTTTTGATAACATAAGGAGTTTGCCTCTTATAATGACAATATCCGTCGGTAATCCGTCAGTCGTAATAGGTTTAACGCGTTTTGTTGCGGGTATAGGTCGGTGAAACTGACGGGAAAGTGGTCGTCGGTAATGGACCGTCAGTTTTACGTCGGTTTTGGTAATTATGTCGGTTTTCCGTCGGTTATTTTGTCGGTAAAACCGACGGAACACCGACAACTAACGTTTCGTCGGTAATTATGTTGGTACAACCGACGGAAAACCGACGACTTACGTTTCGTCGGTTAATAACCGATGGAAAACCAACGACTTACGTTTTGTCGGTTAATAACCGATGGAAAACCGACGACTTACGTTTCGTCGGTTATTAACCGATGGAAAACCGACGACTTACGTTTTGTCGATTATTTATCGGTTATCCGACGGTAATTACCGATGGATTTATGTCTGTCGGTAATTCCGTCGGTTTTAGCCCTGCTTTCTTGTAGTGTTAAGACAACAAAGATTGATCCACTGTCAAATGTGTAACGTTCTGATTGTCATCGAACTATCGGTATACAGGGAAACTCACATCCCCTGGAGAGAACTCACATCTCTCAAAGAACATACAAGGAAACTCACATCTCTTGGAGAGAACTCACATCTCTCTCACT